TACTGCTGCTGCTGCTGCTGTTACTGCTGCTGCTGCTGCTGCTGCTGTCATCATCATCATCATCATCATCATCACTGACACATGAACATAAATATGTGAGTCTGTTCTGGATCACAGGTACATGCAGCAGCTAATGGTCTGATACATAAATGATGGTACAGTAGCAGTACAGTTGAAGCACAGTAGCAGTACAGTAGCAGTACAGTAGCAGTACAGTTGAAGTACAGTAGCACTACAGTTGAAGTACAGTAGCAGTACAGTACAGTAGCAGTACAGTTGAAGCACAGTAGCAGTACAGTAGCAGTACAGTACAGTAGCAGTACAGTACAGTAGCAGTACAGTTGAAGCACAGTAGCAGTACAGTAGCAGTACAGTACAGTAGCAGTACAGTACAGTAGCAGTACAGTTGAAGTACTTCCAAAGTACTTCCAGCCTCGTCTGTCGGAGCTGCACTGAAGTGTGAACCTCTGTTCTTGGTTTTGTGTGTCCGTGGGATGGAGGTGTGTGTGTGTTATTTTAGGTGTGTAGGTGAACACACACACCACGTTTGCAGTGTGATGTATAAATAATGTTACTCTGTGTGGAACTGCGTGTCAAAATACTTCAAAACAAACTCTGACAGAAGACGAGTCGAGATTCTGACGTTGGGATGATCCGTGACATCACAGCGGTCGTCTGTGATGTCATGAGGTTTGATGTAAACAAATGATGTTCAGAGAAAGTACTGGAACTTTTCTCTCTCCATCGCTGCTTCTCAAATTGTTGACAGGCCTGAATTAGCACCACCTACAGGAGTATTTGAACAAAACTACAGACTTTCCCTTTAAACTAATGCTAAAAACATGCTAACGTTAGCTGGAAGAATCGCAGAAAAAACCCTACAAACATAAACATACAGAACAAAATTAATTTGAGGATATTTTACATATCAACAAGAATGTTTTTCTTATGTTATTAACTAATATTTAAAACAAAAATCCTGGATAAAAAAACGTTAAAGTTAAAGGATGACTGAACTCTTTGTGCCACATCTAGAGTAAATATAAACATGTCCAAAAGTACGATTCTTCATTCTTCACTTGAATTTCTTCACCATATGTCGTTCTGATTTCCAGTAAAAAAAAAAAAAAAAACAGAAACTATTTTAAGATGTTGTTGATAACTTCATGAGATCCAAGCTGCTTTGGACATAAAATAACTGTGGGCCATATGTGCTCTAATAAAACAGAGCGATAATATCGTTCTGGAGGCCAGAGAATCGGTCGCACCATGTGAATTTTTGTTTTTAAACGAGACAATATCAGTAGCAGAGAGGAAACAGACGAGGAAGTGCAAATGTGTCAGGGTTTGAAAGAACAGAGCGCTGCGGTAAAATCACAGACGACCAATCAAAAACAACCACCGCTCTGCTGAGAAGTCGTCCCACAATGCACTTCTCTGCTCTTCAGCCTTGACTTTTTTTTTTTTACTGAATAATTTTGATGTAATTTTTATGAACTTTTTATAATACTTTTAATAATTTTTTATTATTTTTTTTTTTTTATTTTATTAAAATTTTTAATAAATTAAAAAA